CCACCTGGATACTTCTGGCACGAATCCAAAAAACCTTCAACCGAGCTGCTTTGGGCCATCTGCCACGGCGCTAAAGTCTGCATGAATGCAGTTGCGAAGTCCCTCGCTGACATGGGGCCATCGGGTTCGAATTTGGACCTAAGCTGGTAGTGGATTTTGACGATCAGAAGAGCGCATACCAGTCGTGTATGCTCCGCCACAGACAGCACAACAGGCGTGACAGCCACCTGTGGGTCTATGTAGATCTGCATTGCAGCATTCATACCTTGTGCGACTATATCTGCGGCCACGTCTACTTCGACGTAAATGTCTACCAGACTGCGCATGTAGTCCAGAACATCATCTCCACTACGGAGAAATCGGGAATAAATAACTGGCCATTGGTTCGAGTTGGCATGCTCTAATAGTTCGAACGGTTTATCACTATCAAAATCGTCGTCGCTGATGTTGTGCAATACCGTTGCAACATGTAGCAAGCCGGCGAGAGGCTGGGGGTTTTCCGAGAGTGAACCTTGGATTACAATCTCTGGATACTGGATATAAAGGCTTCTGACATACGAACTGACGCTCAGAAGTCTCCCAATCGAAACCAAGTCGCACCTACAAAGTACCTATTGCATGTAGTCAGTTTCAAGTGCTTCTTGAAAGGCATTTCGCGAATCTTACAAGTAATTGCAATTCTGCAGGCAGTTTAGTAAACTGAAAGACAGGCCTTGAACCTCGTCTTAGGTTGCGAGCTGCTTTTTGTTTTGCGCTTCGTGCCATTGAGTTGTGATGCGAGTGGGATGTAGAGACTGGGAGACTATGGCTGCCTACACATGTCGACGCTAGCGCTAATTACGGCAGATCCTCGGGCCGCGCAACGATGCTCAGGTACGTGGAAGTTCAACTAAGCCCGGTGCAACACATATCCTTCACCATATCACCTCCGCACCCCCATATACAAGATGCTGGTCTCTCTCACAGTCGGAAAGGTCGATGCCGGTGTAGCCGTGCTGCTCACGGAAGACAAGCGCCTCGTGAGTGCCCTCAATGCCTTGCAGCACACGAATTCACCCTAGCTGACGTCAATCTAGATTGAATTCCCCTCGATATTGCTCCCGCCAGATATCTCTTCTGGGTCCATGGTGGATATTGACGTCGGACGCAACTACAAGGCCGAAGCCGACGCACAGAAAGCCTTCCATGAGCTCCAGTCTGAGATCTTCCGTACCTTCGGTCAGCGCACGCCCTCGGCGCCTGTTCTCAAGTGTCGCAATGCCACGCAAACCTCCGTAGTCCTCGAATGGGACCCCATCGATATCGCGACCGCCGAGCTACGCAGCCTTACGCTCTACCGCAATGGTAACAAGGCTGGCACAATACCCAAGCCCACCGATCAGCACAGCACCAAGTTGAGTGGCCTGGCAGTCGACACAGAATACCAGTTTCACCTCGTCCTGAAAACTAGTGCTGGCACGTTCAGCAGTGAAAAGCTGAAGGTACAAACACACAAGATGACAGACCTGTCGGGTATTACCATTACCCCTGGTCACATGCCTGCAGCTCTTCGCGAGTCTCTACAACGATCTGTGGAGCGAATCGGCGCTAAAATTGCGGACACTGTTCGTATTGACACAACGCATTTCATCTGTACCGAGGGACGAGGCCCAGCATGGGAGAAGGCAGTCGAGAACAACATTCCTGTTGTAGTGCCAGATTGGGTTATAGGATGTGAGAGGGAAGGAAGGATAGTTGGCGTTAGAGGCTACTACCTAAATGCAGATCCACGGCTACGGAGCGTCGGTGCCGGGTCTTCACAGCAGCAGTCTCAGCAATCATCACAACAACAGCAACAACAACCGCAACAGCCGCAGCAACAGCAACAACAACAACAACCAAGGAGTCCTATAATAAGCCCAAGGACTGAAATCACGCCACCCACTCCTGAGCAATCCAGGCAAGGCCGGGACGCAGAAGGTGCCGCACCACCCCCACCACCCAAAGATGATGTGAGCGAGAGAAGTGAGCGAAGCTCATTAGAATCCAAGTCGCAAACAGAAGAGCACAGGAACAGAACAGATGATCTGAAACCTCAGTCTGGAAAGGAAAAGCAGCAAAGCGGAAGCGAAGGAGACGATTCAGAGCCAGAACCAAGTGACGAAAAATCGATAGAGGCGAGTCTACCCCAGAGAGCAAAACCAGGGCAGGCGTCTGTCGAAGAAGACGATAATGGAGAAAGCTTTCAAGATGTACAGCTTTAGAAGAATGGCGCTGAGAGAGGACGTGGGCTGTGGACGGTTGCTATTCGATCATAGCTTGAGTTGCGGGCTGTCCCAAAACTCGCCTCCCGGTCGGACACATCATAACTACCGTCGATGCTTACTTCTCTTACTCTCGAAATTCCTCCTTAGCTACCGCATACACTAGAACATTGTAATGCATACCATTCTGTCTAAGTCCGTGTTTCTGGACATCACTGTCAATACTCACAACGTCGTCTCCATTGTTCTATCCCTTACATGCTTTTGTGCATGGTTGTAATTGCTACAACAAAGCGGTCTGATACCTACGCAATTTTGCCAGGCAAGTATACCTTCAACACTAAATGGCGTTCGCAAAAGCATAGGATACTTGGGAAAGATGGTTCGACTAATCGGAATCCCGTGCAGAAGAGTCAGCACCTTGCTTACTGAGGACGAGAACAGTTGTCACTTTCTCATTGTCTTATGCCTGTTATATGATCGTCCCGAGAGTATCCGAGCCGCGCTCACCCGGTTGGTAAATATACGGTCAAGCTCACACTATATAAGTCACCTCATTAGAACAAAGGTCTATCCTTGAATCCCGTACCTTCCTTCAATGCTACCACTTGTATTACCACGTGTGTTTACACGCAATTCCCTACTCCATTCCGGCGTTCTATGTATTCGATCTTGATAGGGGTATCCGCCATCTGGTCCTTTTGAGGAATAGTCTCGACGATTTGAGTAAATCCAGGTGAAGCCCTAATCGCAGACATCTGTCTACGTCCCCAAACTGGATGCTAGCGTAGACGGAGAGTAAAATTGTGGAGTATTATCTCGATACGAGCGTATTGACCGTATCGACCGTACTCGGCCTTTCACCAGCACGGACGGCACTTTACCCCTGCACAACCCGTGCGGTGTTCACAGCATACTAATTTTTCCAACGCACCCTGTCGAATATCAGTTTAGCGGGAAGTGAGGCGTTTGGGGATATATACTAAGGCGTCCGTCATCACATCAATCATTGGGCTCGACCACGACTTGTCTTTCTTTCGACACGACGAAAAGGCAGCAAAAATGGCTGTGTCTTTACAGCTTCCACCTATATTTCTCTACCTCCAATTTCCCATCATGATCTTGAATAATGCCGTCGCGCTTGCGCTGAGACCTGAGCGCCAGTTTCTCTGTGTGTCCATCACCCTACCCATACTTGTTGTGTTTGCCGCGCAGTCACTATACCGAGAATTGGATACCAGCTGGGGTTACAAGTACGGGATGGAAACCCTTACGACGTGTCTGGTTTATCACTATATTGGCTGGGTACTTCTAGGGGTCCCGGATAAAGAAGGATGGTACAAGATCCAGTATGGCAAGGGAAACGAACACGAGAAGAAAAAGGATAAGATGACGAACGGCAAGATGAATGGCAATGGTGTACCAGCGAACAAGAAATACCAGTATGTACCAGGCGGAGCAGGTACAACTTTCTGGAGCCGATTGTGGTGGGCCATGCGTCTTTCCTGTACAAACAGATATGTTGGTTGGAGTCAACAAGTCAAGGGTGTTATCATGGAAGTTCCATCCGATTATCCTCGTCTGTAAGTCACTCTTCAATCACCCCAAATCCTTCACACAACCCACAACTAACATGCACCAAAAGTCGTTTCATAGTCGAAAAACTTGTCCACGGTTTCATATACTGGGCAATCTCTGATATCCTCACGGCATACACCGCCACCTCCCCATACGGCACATATATCGACTTGCAGCGTTCAAACGTAAAACCGTATCAGCCCTTCGCCCCAGATGCCCCCTTTTGGGGAGTCCGCTTCTGGTACACGTGGGTGCATATCCTAATCACGCGGTGCACCCTCGCAGTCTGTTTCGCAATCAGCGGTATCTTCGCCGTCGCACTCGGCCTCGCGAACCCGCGTGATTGTCCTTCCGCCTTCGGCCTTGTCCGCGATCTCTGGAGCGTACGGCAAGCTTGGTCTCTGGTGTGGCACCAGCAGTTGCGCTTCATATGTAGTGCTCCGGCTATTTGGCTCGCTCGCGACGTATTTCGGTTTCCAAAGGGAAGTTTCGGATCAAGATATGTGCAGCTTTTCGTGACGTTCGCCAATTCGTGGATTATTCATTCCGTGGCGGCGATGCTGGTGAATCAGGCATGGACCGATGATGGTGGGTTTGTGTTCTTCATGAGCCAGGCGGTGATTATCTTGGTCGAGGATCATCTTATTGCTTTGGGGAAGAAGATGGGGTTCAGAGATAATTGGATGTGGCGGGTGGTGGGCTTGGTGTGGACTGTGATCATGGTTGGATGGCCGGCTGAGTATTGGGTCAGCAGACACATTAGTTATGGCATTTGGGTACATCAAAGATCGCCTGATCTGTTGGGCATCGGGCCTAAATAAGTTTGGATAGGAAGTTTTCTCTAATTTGAGAGTGCATAGATTATAGGGCAATTGTTTTGGTTAATACATAGTAATATTATCTTGTTCGTATCACATCAACTATCTGAGGCTTAGAACACCCCACGATCCATCATCCGCGTCCGGATAGACGAATTTCCCAAGTTTTGGAACATATGTAAATGTAGCGACTAGACCATTGGCAAACAATAGCTTTTTTGCTAGAAATTTCCACAACCCTTTCAATACCTAAGTATCAACCCGAATCCATTCCAGCACCACACCTTACCTGAACCCTTACCCAAACCTCATTCAAACCTGTCTTAATCATCCCACCAACCATACCCCCACTCTCAAACCTTCAAGCCGTCAAGAATCCCAACTTCCTATTAACAACCTGCAACCTCTCCCTAACCCTCAACCTATCTCCACCATTATCTTTCTCCCTTCCCTTGGCACTCTTCTTATCCTCCTTCTCAAACCTCACCCTCCACATCCCCACATAATTAACCACACCCTGCCTAGCCCAAACCCGCCACCACTCTTCCTTCGCCCACCTCAGCAGCACTTCCTCACTCACACCCGCGTAGATTGCATCCGTCCAGCATATACTCTCTTCCTTGGGACGTGGCGTGCAGAGCATATACGGTGTGCCGGTGGAAAGGTCGAAGTGCGTCCAGCGTGAGAGACAGGCGAGTTTGGCTTCGATGGACATGCTGGGTGGTGGAGGGCGCGGGGAGAATGAGATTGGGGGTTGACGGGGGAGAGGGGGTAGGTGGATAGTTTTGGGTTGGGTGGGGGAAAGGGTGTTGCTGTATGTGATGACAGGGGTTACGAAGTCCAATGATGGATGTGGTGTTTCGTGGGAGGCGGTGGGCTCGAGATCAGGTGGTGCGAGGGGTGTATGCGTGAATGTGAGGTTGACTGATGCCACTGCAGCTTCCCATCCGTTTGTGCCGATGGGTATGGCATTCATGATTAGACTTGCCAATTGCTGTTCTTCAAGCCTTTTGCGATGGGCGGCCCGTTTGGTGTAGTACTGTTCTGCAGTGTTGGGGAACGTGGTGAAGACTTTGTCACGGACGGCGGACCTGGTATGCTTGTACCATGTTTCGAGGTCTTGTGTAATGTTTCCTTCGCCGCTGTTTTCGGAATTCACAGTATCTGAAGAGCCTATAGTAAACCGGTAGCCAGGGTAGTGCCCAGGCACCCACTCTTTGATGAAGTGAGTCCAGGGCGCAGATCGCTCTTCCAGTCAGTTTCCACAGTTCTCCTCGGCGAGCCTTGCAGCGAAATGAGCTGGATTAAAGAGCCATGAACGAGCAAAATACTTGTATACTGGTAGCTTGATCAGCATAATGTGCACTACGCAACCCATGTGCACCAACAGACTTACTCTCTTCCTTGGTCTTAAATCTACCGTTCACGATTCTGAAATCCAAACCGGCAATTCTCAAGACATCTTTGGGATCCTTACTGATCCACACCATACTCTCGTTATGATCTGTCTCTTCCAAATCTTCAACGCGAATGTGGATGCCTTCTGGGGCAATCGTGAGATCTAAGGGCTTCACCATACTTCCAATTATCTTACTGCTACTCGCATAGCCAAGTCCAAAGGTGTACCATTTGAACAACTCTGGCTTGAAGCAGACCTTAACGTCAATCTGGATAAAGTAGTCTTCTCCATCACATGACGCATCGACGGCGAAATACATGCAATCATTGGTGAGATAGCCTCGGCGTCCATGTGTTGTTCCAAAGGCATCTTTGGTAAGCTGGACTGTTTCTTCCCATGGGAAATCATTTATGGTGTGAGGACGTGGGGAGTGCAACGGGCTACAAACGAGGAAGTCGATGTCGCCGTAGTCGTTCTTGGGTACTTAGCAAGGGAAACAAAACTCTACCTCTCAATCTTACCTTCTCGGGCATCTCAGCTGGGACGACTACATGTGTGAATACTATCTGAAGTGCTGTAGTAGCTTGGGCTTTGACTTGGAAGTATACATCTGGATTGATGCGTGGACAGTAGAGGTTTTTGAAGGCATGACCGCCCATCATGTAACGATGTAATTGTATGGACGAGAGAACAACTATTGGCTTGGGCTTTCTAAAAGAGATGTGTTGATGGGATTTGAGTAGAAACAAGTGAGTTTGAGCAGATATAGTAAAGGTAAGTTACTTTGGCAGGAACTTGACAAGTAAAGGTAAGAACAGGCTGCTGATCTCGAAGCATTGCTTCTCATGATATAGCCACTAAGGTTCGCATTCACTTGTATACGTCAGTACCTATTCCGCATTCCTATTGAATTTAGATTGATAAGTGTTGAACAATCAGTTCCAGCTTTGCCTTCATTAGGAGGGAATAGTCCCCTCTATGACCGACTGCGGTTGCAGTTTGGTAGTCACCTCCCTTTTGCGATTGCCGCTGAGCATCTGGAGTTGTCTCTGCTGAGGCCATGGGTATTTTGCTTTTGGTTTTCACATCGGGTATTATTGCGATATATCCGATATCTCTAGGGAAAAAGGGTTAGATCAACGATCAAAGGGACGACTTCTCAGCCTTGCCAGTGCCAAGTAAAGAGTAGTTGCATGTTTCGATAAAGCAGGACACACCTTCTGTACGCCCAAAAAGCGCCTCAGCATCAGCCTTGCAGTTTGCATTGTATTCCTACAAACTCAGCCTCGCGGCATTTCAGCCTCCAAGATTCGATTGGACCAGGCTGCCCGACTTCACTTTCACCACACCACTCTCTGCGGCACAGCAAACACTCTAAGCGCCCACCCCCACGCTCCTCTAGATACATAGAACCATCACCCCAACAATAACCGCTAGTCTCATCCCCAAAATTACAATAACAATACCAAAATGGCACTCGCACGCCTCCAAGCTATCCTCGCATGCATGAACTGCGGCACTGCAGACCTTACTCCCACCTACACCTCCACCTCGGAAAAAGCATCCCTCCTTCAGTCACCCACTGCTCGCCCAGAAACTGAAATCGCAAATAATGTAGTCGCAGCCCTCATCACTACCTCAATCACCGGGCAAGCCCTACGTATGCAGCTCGACTCGCTCGTCGGCGCCTACGGCTGGCGCCAGAACCTTGCCCAATACATCCTCGACAATCTCGCGAAGGCCCTACAAGCCTCGCACGAGAAACTCGGTCCTACCATCCACGATGCGTACCTCCGTGCCTGGGAGGCTGCAAAGAGTGTCGAGGGATTTGTTGTCGAGCACCCAGTCATGTGTACGGTTATTGCGTTAGGCGTGCTTGCCATTGTTGCGCCGTGGATTCTTGAAGCGCTAGGGTTTGCGGAGTTGGGTCCTGCGGAAGGTATGTGATATCATTGCTGTGGTTAATGATGGAGTAATATTTGAGCTGACTTTGTCTGATTGTGTAGGGAGCTTTGCGGCATGGTGGCAAGCCAGGTATGCTGGGTATGTGCCTAAGGGCTCGCTGTTCTCGTTTTTTCAGCGGCTGGGGATAAAGTGGCATTGGAAGCTGGTTGTGTGAAGAGGAGTGGCGGAGGAAAATAAATTGAAGAGCTGGGTACTTACGAATATTGAGGGTACAGTTTGTGACATACCTATGCGCCAACAGAAGTGGTGTGGGATGTAGTCGGTTGGAGAGGGTGATGCCTAACGGTCAATGACAATATGTAATTTTTATAGAGATGTTCTATCGGTGTATTTGTCTAGTCAATAGATATGTGAAGACGATCGACTAAGGAATTCAACCATGGGAATTGTCTTCCAATCGCTATTTACATATGGCACCAGTGACTTATCGAAGCCCATCCGTCTCTAAACCGACATTATCTGCTCTGGAGCCATAAACGCCACCATCTAAGATCCATTGCTCATTGTCGTCGTTGTCATCTTGTACTCGCCGCCATGTTTGTCTCCTTTCACCACCCTTCTCTTTTCCTTTACCCTCGTCGATCTTAATGGTTGGTCGGATCAGGCTACCCAACAGTGGGTTCCTGCTGAACGCGCCACCGCCACTCGACAGGGTATTTCCATCTGCTGGGCCTTGATTGGATTCAGAAGGTTCATCTTCGCTCTCTGGTGTAGCAGGTCGCTCTGCAGCAGCCATGCGCCGAACGAGCTTCTTGCCGGAAAGGTCAATGCTGGCAACAACTTTGCGCTTCTCATACTCGGGCCGTGCATTCCATTCTTGATCTCTTAGGGCCTTTTGTTGGCGCTTGAGCTGCATGGCACGTTCCTGCGGGCTGGCCCACATGCTCAGTCCGGCGCTTGTGGTCTCGAAATCTGCAGCCTCATCATGGACTTGAGTTCGCTTCGCATTTTGTGCCTGGAAGGCCAGTAGCTTATCTCTGTGTTGTTTCGCTTTGGCAAGCTTCTCATTCTCTGATTCTACATCTGAGGCAGGATTGGAAGATGTGGGCGTAGGACCACGGGGAGTGGAAAAAGGGCGAGGCGCCAATGATACTTCGGCGCGCTTCTGGCCGGCATTATTTACAGCCATCTTCTCTTTCCCACGTTCGTCACGAAGAATGCGCACCATGGACTGGATATCTTGGGGACTCAAGAGTGCAGAATTGCAGAAAGTACATGGGCCGATACCTTCTTTTACACAGATGATCTTGCCGCAATTCAAACAATTCGGCGCAGCTTCTAGGAGCGGATGCCTAGTGGCCATGCAGTTGCATTTCCGCTTGCTGTTGTCTTGGGTGGCTAAAGTAGGATTCGTCTGAATTTCCAGCGCTCTGATGGCTGACTCTAGGTCGTCCAGTGCTGTTGACGCGCCATGCATTGGTGTGCCACCGGTAACATTGACCTTGGCCTTGGGTTTAGGTTTGGGCTTGGTTTCCCCCACCACAGTGCCTGGAAGTTTCGCGGCTGAGGGAGCAGGGGAGACACCACGAGACTTTGGTGTCGCTGCTCCTGATGACGCAGTCGATTTTGGCAGCTGCAAAGCATCTGGCTGTTCCGAAAGTCCGAACTTGGCCGCTTTCGCTTTTGAACTACCTGCCATGTAGTCCTCCTCATCCTTCTTCATGTACGCACCGGAAACATTTCCATAGTTATCTGGTTGTCGCGGTGGCGGGAGTTTATTCAGCCCGGTTTGCTTCTTTTTCTTAGGCTTTGACTTTGGTACTTCTGAAATGTCATTCAACGGCTGGTTCTGGCGTGCACCAGCGGAACTCTTGGGTTTCCTCCGGTTGTTGAAAGAAGTAATGAACTCAAGTGCTTGTGGGCTATCTCCGAGTAAATTCTGGAGATGGTCTGCTGCTTCCTTCTGAGAGAGCGAGTCTGTATATGATATGATCTGCTTCAGCGACTCGTCATCAAGAGGAAGAAGCTTCGAGAGCTGGGGTAGTGCCCAAGATGATAGATCCATGATTGCAGTTGTTGGGTCTTGGAGATGTTTGAAGTCAGAAGGCGTCCGCCGTGATTCATCACTTCACGCTAGTCAGTGTGGCTACTGTGGCTGGTGAAGGGGACCGTGCGTTGATCTGGCGTTGGATTTCTAGATGCTGGGGAAGCTGCCATCACAGTCCTCACTCGCAACTCCGCATATCTACCATGGCTACCGACGTCGCACTCGACACTACAATCGTATGTCCCTCATTCTACGAGGGAGAATCAATCTAACATCAACAGGGCACTGTTGTTGTCGAACTCTACAACGACCATGCGCCAAAGACATGCAAGAACTTCTCAACCTTGGCCCAGCGCGGCTACTTCAACGGCCTCATATTCCATCGTATAATACCAAACTTTATGATCCAAGGAGGCGACCCTACAGGTACTGGCCGAGGCGGTGAATCCATCTATGGCGAAAAATTCGAAGACGAGATATCACCGCAACTCAAACACACTGGAGCTGGCATCCTTAGCATGGCCAATTCAGGCCCTAACACAAACGGGTCTCAGTTCTTCATTACCCTCGCACCTACACCATGGTTGGACGGAAAGCACACCATCTTTGGTAGGGTCAAGAGCGGCATGCAGGTTGTAAAGAAGCTTGGTTTGGTCAAAACAGACAAAGAGGATCGCCCGGTAGAAGAAGTCAAGATTGTTAGGGCATACCTCCCAGATGATAACGCTCAAGCGTTACAACGCTATTAGTGCGCGACAAAAGATGAATTGGTTTAACGCTCGCGCAAAAGCCTCATGCTCGCGATGTTAATAGTGCTCTGTTGTGAGTTTGGAACCTCCATATTGCAGAATAGACACTCATACGCTCAGCTAGTTCAAAGCGCCGTTCGGGTGGATCAACACTTTGGTATACCCTTCGATCCTCTTGTCAAACTTCTCGTACGCCGTTGGTGCATCCTCGATATTAATCTCGTGAGACACAACGAAACTTGGCTTTGCCCTGCCCGACACGATCATATCGCGAAGATACCTGTTGTAGGCTTTGACGTTGCATTGTCCAGTTCCGAGGTGCAGGCCCTACTTGGATCAGTGCTGGAAAATGAATATGGTGCACACGCGTACCTTTTCAAAAAGCTTTCCGAACGAGATCAAAATCTGGCCTTTCTTGCTTTGTTCATCCGGCGCTCCGGGATCAGCTGGCACATAAAGCCCCAGAATTCCTAGCCCTCCAGTTGGGCGCGTGACCATGATCAACTGGTCAAGGACGATGTTGGGTTTTTCTGTGCTACCCGATGCATCCACTGCCTGGTATCCAACAGCATCCACTGCGCGATCAACCATGCCGCCGTTAAGCTTGATGATTTGTTCAACAGGATCGCTCTTTTTGAAGTCGATGGGTACGCAACCGATCTTTTCCGCTGCTTGTAAACGTTCGGGGACCGTATCCACAACAAACACTTTGCTTGCACCGCGTAGCACACCACTGTATGCTGCCATCAGACCAACAGGGCCCGCGCCAAACACTGCTACACTCTCGCCAGACTTGAACCCAGAGAGCACAAGCCCGTGCCATCCTGTTGGGAAAATGTCCGCAAGTAGAATGAAATCGGCCTCGTGCTCGGTCCCTTGCGGCAGTTTCAGTGCATTGAAGTCAGCAAACGGTACCCTGAGGTATTGTGCTTGGCCGCCTTGATATGGTCCCATGGCCACGTATCCGTACGCGCCACCAGCGAAGCCTGGGTTTACACTACGATTGTTAGACAATGTTGTGAAGCTTTCCGCCAAGCCTTGACTCACCCAGTACAGAATGCCGTCTTGCCTTCTTCGCAATTGCGACATCGGCCGTCTGCAACGTTCTAGGAAGCTCGACGTCAGCCCACTCATCTACAGATAGCGTTATGCGTACTCACAAATGGCAATACAATCCGATCGCCCTTCTCCAGGAGAGTTACGCCCGGCCCAGCCTCCATGACGATCCCCATGTTCTCATGGCCGAACACAAGACCAGCTTCCGCTGCGGTCCGTCCCTGGTACATGTGCAGGTCGGATCCGCAAATGGCTGCTGTCGTGACCTTGACAATGACGTCATCTGGATGCTGGATCTTGGGTAACTCGACGTCCTTGACTGAGACTTTGAACGGGCCTTCGTAGTGTACTGCTTTCATTGTGTTGCTCGGCATGTTTGAAAACGTCGGCTTTGTCTTTGTTGTTGTATGAATTGTGTTTGGTATTGAGGTATAAGAGCGTGGTATGTACAATTCGGAAATGCGGATTATTAGGACCTAGGTATGAGTAAAGTTAAGAATAAAAGGTTTGTGATGTAGGAAAGACACCGTTACATCCTCTTATCAAGGGAACCCCATCCTACCCCATTCATGTACTCCTTCCCACTAGCTCTATTTCGGTATGTAGGCCACTGCCCTTCCTACATACATGACAACGGGCTATCCCTTCCCCCGAGCATCAATACCCCAGTTTTAAAGCAATCACGAATGCGTGGCTTTGGGTGGTCGCAAACCAAGTTGTCTACGTACGTAACCCAATGCCCCCCACCTGGTGCGAAACTGGAAACCACCCCTCACTCTTGGACTTTTTCGCTCGAGTTGGCATTTAGAGGCGTCATTATTGAGGGGCTGGGGCGGCAGATGGGGAGGGGAGTGTGGGGTAATGCTTTCCGAGTCGGAATCTAGTGTCTTGGGCATGTTTCCGAGGATGCTGTGTTTTTCTTTGACTACGGAATTTGTGCAGTTGGAGTATGCCAGTGTTGTATTGATATGATTGAGGTGCGTATATTGTCTTTTATGTCCTTCAGCGAGAGCGTGAGCGTACTACTCTGTTATCGGGATCCGTAAAAGCGGTAGAAAATATAGGATTTGATGGATGGGAAGTGCATCTAGAGTTGGAAGTTATTGTTGCGCCATTCGTTTGGTTAGTACTTCAGTAGGGTCAAGTTGACACATAACAATGTGGGTGCGATGGATCTTTTCTCGCATGGGGGTTTGGTAGATATAGCAATATCTCGTTTCTTATAGGATGCGAAAGGCATTGACAAACGCTTTCTTACATTTTGATTTGCGAAGCATAAACCTTGGTGAATGAACTGAATCGGAAAATTTTGTATTTACTGTAGTTTGCGTGGTTTGTAAGTGAAAAGTTATTTGGCTGTTCGTACCCATAGATACATGTAACACCACTAAATTTCACCATTCTACTGGCTAAATTCGAAAGAGAATCTTGACTTCGTCTAGAACGCGACACTTTGTATGAAGCTCCCAGTTAATTTCAAGATCATTCACGGTTTTCAGATGTTGACAGTTTGATTCCTAATGAATTCAGCTATTCGCTTTGTTACGATCTCACAAGGTTATACCAAAATGTACATTGCCGACCTATGCTACTTGTAATTGAACGACATGAAACTTCTTGTCAAAACAGATCCCCTGTCGTACCTGCACTTATAGTCTCATTACCAGGTACAGGCTAAGAGACATACTTCCAGTGGTCTAACCTTTGCCAAAACTAAATTAGGGAGTCTCTGCATTGGATTGAAAGCTCACGTTATTCATGTAATAATAATTAGCACCGTTGGCATATCAAAACGTGATAAGTAACGAAGTTGTTAGAAAAGGGACAGTGACATTTTAAGAAGACACCATATAGATGCCTACACTGAAACAGCGAGATTCGATATCTACATCCACTCACAATCAGCATTGTTACCAGAAATAGCCAAAGAACATGTATGTTAGTTTTAAGTAGTACATAGTGGCGGAGAATCGCGATCCTGAGCTCAGTTTGTCGCCACCGACGACTCTAATTCCCAACTTGAAGGCAGCTATTCTGAGAACACGTATGCCTCATAAAATCCTCTAGCACACATGTATATCTGGATTACGTGAATCCGTTGTAATCAAGTGAATTGAAACTATTTACAAAACGGTCCACCTGGTTTGACACATGGCAGCATCATGGACCAGACGTTTTGAAATGAAGTATATGTGTGCAATATAGGAAATACATGAACTTGTATAACGAAATGTTTTGTTTTTACAAATTCTCATTCTTAAAGTCTTTTTTCCCGCCAGTGATGAAGCCAAGCAGACGAAGATTGTGTGAAATCGTGTTGTTCACCAAGGATCTTTCGAGACGATTGGTAGCATTTTTCCATGAGCGCACACGCCTCCTTGCAACGAGCTGTTGAATGCAGCGTGACGGCATGATTATGCATGCTGGTTAGCGTATCAGGGTGTTCATCACTCAGCTCTCTCTTTCTCTCCTGCAGGACTTGCAATTGTAGCTCTTCTGCCTCTTTAAACCGTCCTTGTCTAGAGAGTGTTAACGTGTTTCACCACCGAGCGCCGCACCCCACCGAGCGCCGCAGTTCCCCCACTAAAACAACGTCCCAACAATAACGCGTGATGTCTCAACAA